ATATAAATTATACGGACAGTTAATTGTTAAAGTTTAACTTTTTTTTTTCTTCTATCACACGAGTTAATATAAAAGAAAGTAAAATCGAATTATCACATGTTTAAATGCATAGAAACACAAAAAAAAGACTTTGAGATTAAATCATTGAATTTGATGGAGAAAAAAGATCAAATGAATCGAAAAACATATGATGTTGATCATTAAGAAATTGTGTGAAATCTGTATTATTATCAACTATATTTGATATTTCCATATAATCTATAGGCAATGAAGATGTAGAATCTAATTAAAATTAAGAAGAAAACTTTTTTCTAATAATTTGTTTTTTTGTGTTACCGAAATATTCATCCAATTGATTTAGAATAATATTATTATTTATCTATAAAAATAACATTGATTTTATATTTATTGGTAATTGAATAAATAGCATACTGATTCGCATGATGTTTGTGATTGAACAAGAAATTGTGCGACAGATTCAGGTGTTAACGATACATTTGGATGTTGTTGTATAAGTATTTCTATAAAAATCGAAAGATTATTGATGGTGATCAAGGAATAAACAACAGAAACTTCATGCATGACGTCTCATAAAGTCTTATAAAATATAATAAAGTCTCGCTTGTTGAAGTCTCCTGAAGTCTTTAAAATCTTGCAGTCTTGAAGTCCGCTGTCTCTCCCTTGATGGTAATTTATAAAACATTAGTCCTTACGTTTTTGAACAGAATTACATTTTGGTTGAGTCTATGAATATAAAATAAAAATATATAACTATTTTAGATTATTTATTTCTATATTACATTTGTAGAATTATTATTCGATTGAGCAAGTAAAGAAAATTGATTTTCTAATTCAAATGAGTTCTGTTGTTGTTGTTGTTGATCATTTAATGATGATGTTGATACTAGAATATAATTAACTTTTAGTTTAAAAATACTGATTGTTCAATGTAGTTCTAAGAACGGGTTTTCAAATCTCATTAGTACATTTTATGTATTCCTCATAGAGGTAAACAATAGTAATAGTGCAAAATTTAGGCATGACCCTAACCCAAGCTATTTTGGATACATTTATGGCAATTAAAAAAAGATCCAAACCGAAACTCCCAAACGGTTTGGATTTGAGTTTGAGTCATGTCTAGTACCATTCATCATAATTTCAAAATAGACTAGGGGTGAACAGTTATTGTTATCTCGTTCTTATAAATAACAATAACAATAATAATTTTTGTTATTTGTTATGAATAACAATAACTATTTTTTTGCTATTGTTATTTATAACAGTAACTTTTTTATGATAGTTATTTGTTATAAATAACTTTTTTTTCTGAATATTCAGCTAGCTTCGTATCTTGATTGAACCATCTAAATCAGTAGTAGAAATATAAAAAATTCGTTCCAGAATGTAAGTTTACATAACGGACACAATTAAAATATACAATGAGGTGAGAAAAGATATTTCTCAAAAATAGATCGTATCTGTCACATGCAGATGAAAAGTATTAAAACTTTCAGAATCTACAGAATTAGGAGAGCTATTTTTACACATAACCTCAAGAAATAAACTAGAAGTTTGTATGATTAATCTACTATTCTTAACTTTGTAGTTTTTATTTCTTACATAAAAGTTTGATAGTTGGTAATGATGTATTTGATAATTGAGATAGACCATTTGTTGTATCTAGAAAACGAACATTTGCAAAAAGTAAATTCATTTATTTTTCATTCTTGGTTATATTTACCTGACATTTTTAATTGAGCATTTTTTAATTTTTCAATTAATTTTATTTTTGTTCCAGTTGAACTGATATTTAATTTTCTACATACATTTTTTAAATCTGCTAATTTCATTGTTTCAAATGATTGTTGAAAAAGATTTTCTATCGTATGATTTTTATTAGTATGAATAAGTTCGAGAAATAATTGTTGTTGCCTTAATTGAACATCATAATGACTATATTCGAATTGTAATGGAACTTTTGTTACTTCAGCTTTTTGTGATGGTCCTTTATATTCATGAAATGTTAAACAAGATTTTGATTTTGATATTGAATTTAATGAACGTTTGACTGTTGTTGTTGTTGTGGATGAAAATGATGATGTTTTTTTATGTAATGGTCGTGATACACTTGGATATTGAATATGTCCATCTTGTATAGCTTGTTGAAGATTAGAATCTATTTCAAATATATTATTTGCTACTAATTCTAATATGCCTGGACGTACGGATAATTTATCATTAAGATTATCAGCTAGACGAGCACGTTTTAGCTGACGTTGTGTATTTTGTATAGCTGGTGCAGCTATTGTATCGGATAATATATTATGTTCAATTAATAATTGACGATCAGGACGAGAAAGAATTTTATTTTTTAATATATATTGTGTCTTTAAAAAACAATTATTTAAAATGAAAAAAGAAGACAGAAAAAAAATACTTTTTGCATTTGTACTTGTTTTTGTTGTTCATAAAATGATAATGGTATAATACCAACATCAACAAGTTGTTGAAAAGATCGACGTATTTGTAATTTTCGTTTGAGTGCTATGTAATTAAGAAACTAATAAAAATATAATTATGGAATTTAACTTACATTCTCGATTTTGTTCAAGATCTTGTGTTAATGATTGCTGATTTATTTGTTGTTGAAAGCTATTGTCTTCTTTTATTATTGTTAGTTCGTTGATATTATTATGATTATTGAATATCATTATATATATGTAATAATCGTTTGAAATCAATTACCATAGATATTCTCTAAATGAATAATAGAATATTTTTTAACTCAGCTTATTTCGGATCATTTTCAATATGAAAAAGATTTGTATTATCTCATACTTTCTATGTATTTTACGCATTGTGTAGTATACATGTATGCTTATGAGAAGACTTCAAACGATGCTAGTTTAGATAATAAGTAAACGTATATGAAAATGTCTTGCACATTCATAGCACAAAAAATGACACATGTCAGAGATCGAAAATGAAAAACAGTAAAGATGAGATCGAGTTTTAGGTTAATGTGAATTATTAGATTCTGACTATATGATTAATCAAAGGAAAAAGATTATTCTATTAATTCCATTTTCACCTACAGTATTTTTGTTTATTTTAACTGATATTTACGAAATTGATAAAAGTATTATATGATGACGATGATATTGAATCAAGACTATTATTTTCATTGGTTATTTTACATGATAAATGATCATAGCAGATGTCAGTAAGAATCTGGACAAACGAAAAATGTCGAACAATAATTGCAGTGTTTCTAATAGCGCGTGCCGAGTGGGAGAGCAAAGTGCCAGCGGTACGTAAAAATTTGAAATGGCACGTTATTTGGTACTTTGCTGAAAAAAACAAAGTACCTAGGTGGCACTTTGTTAAATGAAAAAGTACTTTACTTATTGGTTATACTATAGGTTATCCATAAATTACTTTTTTTTTCTTTTTCCTTCCTTTCTTTTCATTTTACTTGCAGGTGGAGCTAAAATAGTTCATTCTTCTTCTTCGAGATTTATTATCTGCTACCGGTCGTAGAAATTGTTGTTTTTTTCTCTAGATAATTTTGGTTTTTTACTAAACAGGTTATTCAATCCATTTTTATCTTAGCACATTTATTTGTTACAGTTGTTTACAAAAAAACTTAGAAACCTTCTACAAGTATCTTCTCCTATACAGGTGCTTTTCGAATTAGTTTATAATGTGGTAGTTAGACTACGAAGAGCACTAAACAGCAGTATGATTTCATATTCTTTTGATTGACTTATAAAAAATAGAAAAAGGGAAAAAAATTACACTCTTATATATTTAACATATAATATGTCTCTCAAGGATTTATCCATGTAAAAATCAGCTCTATATTCATTTCTAACAGTAGAAAAATAGCTATCTTAAAAAAAATCTTTCCAAGCTTTTTTGCAAACAACTGTATTTACTATGATTGTTGTTAACATGTTTTACTTCGGTTACATTATTTTTCTATAGAACTATTTCATCATGAAAATATATGAATAGTAAAAACTTTGTCTATGTTTTCTTAGCATGGTTTTCTTACCTTTGGCACGGTATGGTACTTTGCCATTCAAAATAAAGTACCAAATGGCACTTTAGTTACACGTTGAACGTGCCGAGAGATACTATATTTCAGATTCCTGTTAGAAACACTGCCGATATAACATCATTAAGTTTATCGATTATTTTAAGATAAGCAATAAACAATTGATTTCACTTATAATAAACTTATCTAATTGAACTCTTCGAATTTTTGTGAACTTGCTTTTTTATCAGATATTTAAAATAATTAACCTTGATAGATTCTACTAATCTCTTGATAAAAACAAAATGAAAATATGTAAAATAGACCATTAAGGATGGATGCGGGTGAATAAGTCGAATATTCAGACTCAAATCCACACCCTCTAATATTTACATTTTCGAAATTGTAAATATACCTCATAAATACATAATCTAGAAGAAATCGATATGTTGAAAAATACTTGTTAGAACATTATGCGTTTTTCTTGGTATTTTTATAAATTTTCTCTAATTTACGTTGAAAATTTAAAGAACAACACACAGAATACTTTTGCTCATATGATATGGACTTTGTGTGTGTAAGACGTTCATCGTATTGAAACAGAAAAAGAAAAGAACGACAACGTAACCATTTTTCTCTTTCATTCGGTTTGTTAATATTAAAAATACATCGTTTCTTACATTCAAATATATTTTGGTCTAATAAAAGCAACGATAATGAATGAGTACAGTGCTCTGTGTAATGTTTTGCAATAACCGTCTGTGCTTATTTTTCATCAAAAAAAACGCGTGCACTTTCATAATACCAACCAAAACATTTTGCATTCTATTCATATATGCAACAAACACATATTTGCGTTAACTTTTTTCCTGTGAAATAATATAAAAGTATTTTTTCTATTTTTTTCCCTCTTGCATTCAACAAAAATAATGCATAAATATTGACACCATCGTTCATTTCTATCTCAAGTAAGTGACGAGAAGAAACAAAAAAGATGTATTTGATGAATTAATAAAATTAAGTGCTGAATAGGTATAAAGTAGGTTGTATGCAGTGAACCATATTTCTTTGACAAGTATGTTTGATTCAGTTTCTATGACCTCAAGATATACATAATAATATTTTTGTTCATTTTATTTAAATAACCTTGAAGTTCTTTATGAGAAAGTTCATTCTACCTCCGAAACGTCTATCAAAATCGGATTAAAATATTTTTTAAGACTGTGACTTGAATCTCACAACAATAGAAGGTTGAATAATCAGGCCTGGGTCCACCAAGTTCTAATAAATCGAAACTGCATCCAAAAATTCTTGGACCTGATGAAGCACAGTTTACATACAGTTTTAGTTCGACGGACTTGAAGTACGTCTGATAGATTATCAACATGAGAAAAACGTGGACTCTGTTTGAACGAGAAATATATGCAAAATAATTAAACATCAAAAAATGTAAATCGTTTAGTTTGAAACATCAAACAAAGGTAAAAAAAACTTGATAAGAAAATTGCTATAAGATACGACAGAGGATGTCTGGAACATATTTCAAGCTATATGACGAGATGGACTGTATTCAGTCTATTGAATGCAGACTTTTGTAGTATTTTTCTTGCTCTTTCTAATGAAAAAGTTAGCTTTCTATCTTCTGAAATGGCTGAACCGTGTAGGTTAAAATTTGTCGAAATACTTGTGCATAGCTTGTTATTTAATCAGTCATTTAAAATTGTTTTTATAGAAGTTCTTTTGCTGATATATCCTTCGTGACTATCAACGCTAAATTATATCGATGAATACTACACTGAAACACGTGCTTTCACGCCTGAAGGCCTTCTCTGTCGCCAATATTAGTCTTCCCAGCACGAATTTTAACAACGGGTCGATTAAACACTACATCACCACTCACTATTCAACATGGTTCAATATTCTCCAAGAGTGGATCTATATTATTATCTATATTATCGCTGGTGTATTAGCAGTATTCTTAGTTTTGTTGGTGATTTATCTGTGTGGTTTCCGTGCTGCTGGTGTTGCTGCTGGCTCTCTCGCGGCGCTGATTCAATCAGTGTGTTATGGCGGTGCTGTTGCAGCCGAAAGCGTCTTTTCAATGTGCCAATCGATGGGAGCTGGGGGCCTGACATGCTGCGCAATCATTTTGATATTTCTTATTGGAGGTGGATTAGCTGTATTTGGCACTATAATGTGGCAACAGTGACAAAACTCACCATAATATCGAACATTCTTCGTATTTTTCTTTTTACCACTGCAGAGTAATTCATCATCAAAATACAAATTGAATCGCGTTTATAATAGGCATCTATTTGAAACTCAATCAGATTTTTTTTATAGAAATTGACTGAGTATAGGCACTTGCTTTGAAGAAAAACAATCAAGTTGATGATATGAAGGTGTGAGAGTGAGGGTACGTATGAAAATATAAAATGAAGAGTTTAAAAATAAGCAGTCATATCAGTTGTCTATAGAAATACAAATGATTTCAAACAGAATTCAACCACATAAATACGTATAAGCAAGCACGAAAGACTTGTGAACTAAAGATCACTAAATCGGAGTAGGAGTCGAACCTACATCTTCCAACAACCGGTCATTTTTTCGATGTTGATAGTCCCTACTCAGATCATCTGCTGGATGGGTGTGGGTGTATATCTTCTCTTTGTCCTCATGCATCCATCTATACCCGCACCATCTATATACATACGACTGTATGTGTATTACGTTATAAGTCGGCTTTTTCCATTACGTTTTTATTAAATACAGAGTTGCTCTCCGTACGCGCGAGTCAATGAAAATACAATTAAATCAAAAATACGTGAACAAAAGATTTTTCTATTTATTTATAAAATATTCTTTATAATTTCTTTTTAACAATTTCAATACTCTCTTTCACCGTTTTTATATGAGGATGACTTGGACGTAGTGCACCTTGCCATATGTTCAGAGCACGTTCAAGACATGATAGGGCTTTCGAACAGTCTTTCATATTGTCATACATCAAACCGATGTTGTTGTACGAAGTAGCCAAATCAGGATGATTTGAAGGAAGAGTTTTTTGTTTAATTTCAAGTGCTTTTTCGTGAAATGAAATTGCTTTCGAATACTCTCCCATCTTGTCATATACACTACCGATGTTGTCGTATGAAGTAGCTGTGGATGGATGATTTGAAGAAAAAGTTTTGTGAAAGATTTCAAGTGCCTTTTC